TTTAAGCCTTTAACTGCCTTGTAAATTATAAAAGTGACAGAACAACATGCAGTCTAAATGATCGAAGATAACACTGCTGTCTAATATATCCTAATCCTATCATATATCCTAGTTAAAGTTCTGACCTGGGACTAGCATGGATTTTTGGATTTCAGATGTTCTACCAGCTCCTGAGAATGTCCATAGCAACTCCCCACCCTTTCGTCCTGCGACACACAAGCCTAACCAGCAGACATGCCTATCTTTCCTTGAGTATGCCATTGTGTCTCAAGTGTGGTGCCTATAGCAAATTGTGTAGAGAGGAGCAACAGATGAGTGATGGGCATTTATGTGCCGTACTAGGGATAGCAGGCACAGGGGGATACTGGCAGCTGGGTACATAGAGCATATTAGGGTACACACAGATATGCTGCAGGTCATACACACAAGGGGCCACGGTATGAACTCTGCTTTACATATTACTGACTCTTGCCTTCTGCATTACTTAGTTTCTTGACCTCTACATTCTGTGTTACTTATGCCTAACCACCTGCATTCTGCATTAAATACTACTGACCTCTAAACTTTGTGCTACTTTATACGGACTCCTGAATTCTTTTAACTCTTCCCTACTTGTTAATGGAGCCTTGCTAGGTCGCCTTCTTAAGAGACCTTTGATCTCCTAATGTTTAAGTAGATCTCCACCTCTTCAAGGTTGCTTTTCCCTGGTGTAACATAATGCAATATCAGAAATTTTACAAAGTGTCAAATTTGTACACATCTTGGTGCTTTTCATATATTCTATACATCTCACTTTAAATAATTAAAACAAAGAAATTTAAAAAACAATTAAAAAAAAAAAAATACAGTTATAGGATTCATTGCTTAGAGAAATTGCACAATCTGTAGACCATGTAGTTATGACAGTTAAAGAAAAAAAAAAAAAACCCAAAAAAACATATATTCTGATAATTTAAGATGACTGCTACTAACTTGACTTTTTTAAAAAATATGTAAAAAGAACTATATAAAGTTGCCAGTAGGTGTGCAATAATATCCATGTCCAAACAGTGATGAACACTGTAATATTAAGCAACTCTGTCAAAGAAAAGAATGGGGGTTGGCATTGCTGGTCCTCTGTTGCAAATGCTAATTTCCTGGCTTCATAATTTTGAATCCCAGACCTGGAACAATGATATCACAAAAATATCAGAACTCCATATCTCTAACACTTTCATAGTCACTGACCTGGAACAAGTATAAAGTCACAGCATTAAAGAGCCCCTCCCCCCACACCTTTCTTAAAAAAAAAACCTAACAAACTATTTACAAAAACTAGGAGCTAGTAGCATATACAGCCTCATTCTTGTGCCTGTTTACCAGTGTCTGCACTCTGCTCTACCCTACCAACCCCATCCTGGTCAGAAATTCTCAACTTGCGCATTTGTCATACAGCATTACACTTGTCTGCTGAAAAGTTTGTGTGGCCTTTCCAGGGTGTATCTGTGAGGCCCTGGCTACATCACTAGTGCCTCAGGGAAACCGGGAAGTGGGTGGGGGGAGATAAGGACTCTAGGATCACTAAGGCCACATTCACACTTTGTGATTAGTAATCTTGGGCACAATCGCCGCAATTCTTTATATGGTTCCAAATCGCGTAGCAATCGCTGTAAAGTGCACGATAGGTGTTTGGGTGCCATTATCAGTCAAGGACACCCCAAATGCAATGCAATTATGCTGCAACTATCACAGGCAAACGTGCCTTTAACAATGATGTGAAGCTTGTCGCCCAACAAAGGAGCAGGAGTTTCTTTTCAAGTGACAAATATGCATAGGGTAGCCCATTCAAGTGAATAGGCTGGCCCTATGCGACATGCAGAATTTTGGGAAAACTGTGTTTCGGAAATTGCTAGAGGGAACTCTTATCCCTGCTATGCGATATGTCAACCGGGCCTAGGGGTAAGAATGCAGAGCTGCATGCTCCACAAATGTTTAAGTTTGGGGTGGAAAGGTCTCCTTTAACATGACAGCCAGGCAACAAATCAACAATAGCAGCCTCCATTTACAGTATTTCTTACAGAGTCACTTTAGGTGCTTAATCAGATAAATTTAGGAGAGAAACAAGAGTTAAACTATCAACATGAGATGGTGGTCAGAAGAACAAAATGTTCAAAGATATTTCTGTAAACATGCACAATCATGATTACTGAACATGCACTGGGCAGGCACATCTGGCACTGGCAATATCCCGCTGTAGTTAACATCTTCAATTTTGGATAAATGATTTCTACCTTCCATAGACTGCCTGCTGAACAACATCTACAGAGCTTGCTTTCTGTCTTTATAAATACAATTTTCTTGATCCAATGATTATGAACTAGATCTGGTCATAATGATCTCATTCCTATAGATTAACTTGATATTTCGGTAGCACCTATGACTGTATCAATCTCAGATGGACAAGATGAACGCCTTCTTACAAAAAGACACAAGACAGTACTTTAACGAAACATTAATATTGACCCTACATTCATTATAGACATTACTCAGGTATCCTTGTTCACATTCAGTGCAATATATTTAAGACACAAACATAAAATTAAAATACATAACATAAGATCTACTAAAACCACAAATAAAATAAAAAAGCAAAGCACACTGGAGTATGGATTTAAAAAAATGGTCATAAAAGGAAGATGGGAGCTGTTAAAGCTGATCTTAAAGTGTTACTTAACCCACAACAGTAACATCAATCTGTATATGCAGTAAAGCATGCTTGTTATACTCACTGTGGAATCTAAGGTGTTAATCCTCTGCATTGCGTAAAAAGGCTGTTTGATCCTCCCCTTCTTCCATAGTCCCCAATCCATCTGTTGATAGAACAGAGCCTTTGGGGGCAAGCTGCACATGCTCAGTTTTGTGTGTATTGATAGTTTCTTTTTTCTTGGGAGAGTGCATGTGATCAGCACAGAGCCAATCAGCACTGTCCAGACAGAGGGTCAGGGGTCCTGCAGCCGCATATGACAATTGGGGGAGAATGAAACTCTCCTCCTGCAAGCTTTAACCAGTACTCTGCTGGACACTGATAGAAGTGACAAGACTGTTCTAACTGCTGATGAGAAAAGGTATTTAGCAGTTTATATTTACTAAAATAATTTCATTTCCATGTTGTTTGTACTGTGGGAGGCCAGATATAGTGAATGCAGGGTCCTGGGTTTAGTAACACTTTACGATAGATATAAAAAGTGCACATGAATGCAGCTCTGTATTCAATAATACACTACATTGCCAAAAGTATTGGGACACCCCTCCAAATCATTGGATTCAAGTTTTCCAATCACCTCCATGGCCACAGGTGTATAAAATCAAGCACCTAGGTGTGCAGACTGCTTCTGTAAACATTTGTGAAAGAATGGTTCGTTCTCAGGAACTCAGTGAATTCAAGCGTGGTATCATAATAGGTTGCCACCTGTGCAATAGCCCATCTGTGAAATTTCCTTGCTACTACATATTCTACGGTCAACTGTTAGTGGTATTATAATAAAGTGGAAGCAATTGGTAGCAACAGCAGCCCAGCCACAAAGTGGTAGGCCACGTAAAATGACAGAGCAGGGTCAGCGCATGCTGAAGCACACAGTGCGCAAAAGTCGCCAACTGTCTGCAGAGTCAATAGCTAAAGACCTCCAAACTTTTTGTGGCCTGCAGATTAGCACAACAGTGCATAGAGAGCTTCATGGAATGGGGTTCCAAGCCTCACATCACCAAGCGCAATGCAAAGCATCATATGCAGTGGTGTAAAGCACGCCACCACTGGACTGAGCAGTGCAGACGTGTTCTCTGGAGTGACGAGTCATGCTTCTCTGTCTGGCAAACCAAAGGACCATTGTGCCAGGTGTAATATTTGGTGAAGGGGGGATTATGGTGTAGGGTTGTTTATTAAAGTTTGGGCTTGGCCCCTTAGTTCCAGTGAAGGGAACTGTTAAGTCGTCAGCATACCAAGATATTTTGGACAATTTGATGCTCCCAACTTTGTGGGAACAGTTTGAGGATGGCCCCTTCCTGTTCCACCAGTGCTCAAGGAAAGCTCCATAAAGACATGGATGAGCGAGTTTGGAGTGGAGAAACTTGACTGGCTGGCAAAGAGTCCTGACCTCAACCAGATAGGACACCTTTGGGATGAATTAGAGCAGAGACCATGAGCCAGGCCTTCCTGTCTGACATCAGTGCTTGACCTCACAAATGTGCTTCTGGAAGAATGGTCAAACATTCCCATAGACACACGCCTAAACCTTGTGGACAGCCTTCCCAGAAGCTGTTATAGCTGCAAAGGGTGGGCCAACTCAATTTTGAACCCTATGGACTAAGACTGGGATGCCATTAAAGTTCATGTGCATGTAAAGGCAGGCATCCCAATACTTTTGGCAATATAGTGTATTTTATACAATTCAAGCAGTGTACAGAAAGTACCTTTATTCAACTTAACTTTTTATGCTCCCTGTACAGCAGAATTCAAAGTGGTAGAGGAAGGAGCCGCATAAGCAGACAATTAGTGCTGTGGTGCTTTTTTGCTAATAAGTGCTAACAAGGACATGCTGAAGAAGCGATCGTGATAGAGAGATAGGCTAATCAGTCTTCAGCTTCTACTTTTACAGCCCAGTAACAGGCTGGAAGGCACAAAATCAGTAAGTTGTATTTAACTATCTAAAAATTAGGTCCCCTGTCTAGCAGGGTTGTGTAAATTCCAGAACTGAATGGAGAGAAATACAATTGCGAAGGCAGATAAAATATCTTCATCATATGTATTTCACCATCTATTTAACAGTTTCATCTGTGTATTTAAGTGTCAATTTTAAACGACAAATCCAAACATTCTTACTTATTCGGGCAATCCCAAATTTTACAGTATTGTAGCAATAAACTGTATATGAAGGAAATAGGGAAGAAATTAATATCAAAGCGTAACAGATTATACTTGATCTTGTGTTTGCTATTATCAATAACATTTTGGGTTGCAGGAGCATTCATGTTTGACTTTTCCTCTTTGGTAAGTATATATCCAGCACTTGGTTCATTATCACTAATGCAGGATAAAGAGGCAAGAAAAGGCAAACATACCACGCGGGCCCCTTTATTTGAGCCTGAAACCAGTTTGAATACAAACCTAGAAGAACAGTGGTTGTTGCAAGTAGGTATACCAAAAGGCCACAAGTGGCATGGTACAGCTTGAGACGAGATACTGCAGTCACTTGAGCCAACCGTGGACAAAGTAGGCCAAACCCACACACAGCCTGACAACATGTGGCTATCAAGGTAATTAGACCAAGAATGCTGTGCCATGAGGTTAAGTGTGGCTGTTCACTGCGGTTTTTACTGCATACTATAAAGGATATTCCTGTTCCTGCCAAGATAGGTACACACAGCTGTAGGAGCCAATGAAGTCGAGTCTTAGTCTTGCGAGACAGAGGGCAGAGAGGTGAAGTCTCTGGGGATAACAGCAACACAGCTTCTGTCATACAGAGGCAATACTATAAAAGAAAAAAAGATAAATGTAATAATGAATGACATTCATGTCAAGATCAGTATTTTTTTTTACCACACAATGCCTGAACCAATGAGTAAGAAAGACCTGCAGGCTGTTTTTCATATGTGAAATCACCGGAAAGGGATTCTAAGTGCAGAACATTACACAGTTCATCTGCTCTAAATATAGCTTTATTTTTATAACCTTTGTCTGTTTTTTTTTTTTTTTTTCCAGGGCAGCAAATCTGAAATGTAACCCTGTACACCTGGTCTCTACTTGGCTTCGAAAGAAAGCACAAACAAGCTTAAAAGGCTCTTCCTTCTTACTCTCAGTGCATACAAAAGAACCACTTACAACTCAAAGCAGTAACAGGAGAAAGTAAGGATGTCGGTGCTGTTCTGGGAGATACCTGGAAAAAGGGTTACTGGTATGACTAGTTCACCTCCAGAACGGCACACAACAGTGTAGACCAGAAAAAAATGAGGAAAAACACAGATTTCTTTAGGTTAAATACAAATAATGCATGGTTTGATATTTCCATGTTAGCTTAAGAATGCTCCAGCTCCAGCTAAAAATTGAATACCGGATACAGCATGTTAGAACTTTTTAGATTTTTATTGTTGTCAGAACTGAAAATGATTGGCTGAGTGCCCAGCACGCATGGCTGCTGTTTCCAGTTTGGATAACGGGGGCTTTTTTGTTGTCCATGTTTCTTTTCCCCATGGCAAACAACATCGCTGCCTGGTGGGGATTTGCTTCTCTCAAGGCTATTGCATGGCGGCTTGTTGGTGAGCTGGCGCCCTGCCCTGATCCAACATGGCCGTGCACATCCATCTCTGACGCTGTCACCCTTTGTTCGCCACTCATGGTGATAGAAGTAGCCGAATGCTTGGGCCACTCACATGGCACCCCATGATCAAATTGGGTGGGCGGGGAAGACCTAGGGGGTAGTTTCCCCCTATAGGAGACCTTCCCTTTCTGGTTACCCTAATGGCCTTAATGAGAGAGTTACTGGATGATGGTAACTGGTTGATTTGAAGCATCTTATTCTGTTGGGGCTTTATTAAGGAGTCTGTTTTTTTGGTGTACTCACTGCTGTCCTTACCATGGATCTGTTTGGGACCATCGAGCAGGTCCGGGAAGCCACACACCTTGATTTTTTTAACTCTGGAAGGTAGTAAATAGAAACCATATAGAATTCTCTCTCTGTGCCGCACTTAGTTACCCACATACCCTCTGGAAGATTTACCCCCCTACCTGACCAGGCCATTTTTTGCGATACAGAGATACATTAACTAACAATTGTGCGTTCATGCAATGCTGTACATAAATGACTTTTTGCGATGTAAAAAAAAAAAAAAAACCCGACAACTTGAAAAAAAAACAATATTTCCTATTTTCTAGTATAAAAACATATCCAATTAAAAAAAATACAAATCTAATTTCTTCGTAAATTTAAGCCAAAATGTACTCTGCCACATATTTTTGGTAAAAAAAAAATCCCAATAAGTGTATATTGATTCGTTTGCACAAAAGTTATAGTGTCTACAAACTACGGGACATATACTGGATTTTTTAAACATTTTATACTAGTAACGGCGGTGATTAGCGACTTAATAGAAGGACTGCATTATTGCAGTGGACATTTTTACACTGACTTTTTGAGAACCAGCGACACTAATACAGTGATCAGTGCTACAAATATGCACTGATCACTGTACGAATGACACTGGTTGGGAAGGGGTTAACATCTAGGGTGATCAAAGGGTTAACTGGGTGCCTAGCTATGTGCTTAGTATACACTAGGTGGCGTGGTTACTAAGAAAACAGAAGCAGAAAGCAGAAGCGAGCTGCCGCGCACTCCCCCTAAGACGGAACTGCAAAACCACCTATATAAACTCATGATTTTGCACAGGCGGGCCGCCCTGTAGAAGTTAAACTGCTATAGGGTGGTCTTAAAGTGGTTAATAACCTATGTTCAATGAGTATTGTTTTTGATAATAAATCATTAGGTCCTTGTGTTTTCCATGACAATGGGTTTATTTCTTGTGCATTCCTTGGGACCTTGCTAAGTGGTTTGCCTTTGGTGCGTGCAGTACTATTATCACCATCGATCTGTTGGGACCACCTGGGCGATCTATAAAGCCCTACATTTTGATGCCTTAACCTTGGCAGGTAATTAGTACAATTATATATAATTTTATTTAATCCTAGGATCCATGGTCTACTGTTCGGGCTTAAGTGCTCAGTATTTTTTCCTGTCAGGGCTTCTGTCTTTTTATGCCATGATAATGGGTTCATCCTCCTTGCACTTCACCTGATCCCGTTGGAGGTTCTCTGTATAGGACATGCATCTCTCTTTGTGCTTTTATATTGTATTACTTTGAGTATGTATATAAGTAGCCTTTATGATCTTAGTGGCCACATTCTCATATGTATACACTATATTGCCAAAAGTATTGGGACGCCTGCCTTTACACACACATGAACCTTAATGGCATCCCAGTCTTAGTTTGTAGGGTTCAATATTGAGTTGGCCCACCCTTTGCAGCTATAACAGCTTCAACTTTTCTGGAAAGGCTGCCCACAAGGTTTAGGCGTGTGTCTATGGGAATGTTTGACCATTCTTCCATAAGCGCATTTGTAAGGTCAGGCACTGATGTCGGACAAGAAGGCCTGGCTTGCAGTCTCCACTCCAATTCATCCCAAAGGTGAGGTCAGGACTCTGTGCAGGCCAGTCAAGTTCTTCCACCCCAAACTTTCTCATCCATGTCTTTATGCACCTTGCTTTGTGCACTGTTGCAGAGTCACATTGGAACAGGAAGGGGCCATCCCCAAACTGTTCCCACAAAGTTGGGGGCATGAAATGGTCCAAAATGTCTTGGTATATTGACGCTTTAAGAGTTCCCTTCACTGGAACTAAGGGGCCAGGCCCAACCCCTGTAAAACAATCCTACACTATAATCCCTCCTCCACCAACCTATACAACTTGACACAATGCAGTCAGGCAAGTACCATTCTCCTGGCAACTGCCAAACCCAGACGTATCCATCAGATTGCCAGACAGAGAAGCGTAATTTGTCACTCCAGAGAACATGTCTCCACTGGTTTAGAGTCCAGTGGCGGTGTGCTTTACACCACTGTTTCAGGCGTTTGGAGAAGTAAGGCTTTGACGCAGCTCCTCGGCCATGGAAACCCATTCTATGAAACTCTCCATGCACTGCTGTGCTAATATGAAGGCCACAAGAACTTTGGAGGTCTTTAGCTATGGACTCTGCAGACAGCTGGCGATATCTTTGCACTTTAGCATGTGCTAACTCCGCTCTGTCATTTTATGTGACCTACCACTTCACGGCTGATTTGCTGTTGTTCCCAGTTGCTTCCACTTTGTTATAATACCATTAACAGTTGACTGTGGAATATTTAGTAGCAAGGAAATTTCAAGGATGGATTTATAGTACAGGTGGTAACCTATCATGGTACCACACTTGAATTCACTGAGCTCCTGAGAGCGACCCATTCTTTCACAAATGTTCGCAGAAGCAGTATGCATGCTTAGGTGCTTGATTTTAAGCACCTGGGGCCATGGAGCTGATTTGAACACCTGATTCCAATGATTTGGAGGGGTGTCCCAATACTTTTGGCAATATTTATTTATTACAGGTACTTATATAGCACCGTCAATTTACATATATATTGTACATTCACATCAGTCCCTAACCCTCAAAGGGCGTACAATCTAAAGTCCCTAACTCACATACATACACATATTAGGGCCAATTTAGACAGAATCCAATTAACCTACCAGCATGTCTTTGGGGTGTGGGAGGAAACCAGAGTACCCAGAGGAAACCCACGCAGGCACAGGGAGAACATGCAAACTCCAGGCAAGTGGTGCAGTGGTTGGGATTCGAACCAACAACCCTAGTACTGCCAGGTGGAAGTGCTAACCATTTAGCCACTGCGCTGCCCAATATAGTGTATGTGGCATTTATCCATATGCACTTATGTTTCAGACCATATCTTTCCCTGCTGTTGAAGGCTCTATAAATGCTGAAACACGTTGAGATGAGAAAACAATGTAGATTGGCCCATATGTATGTTATATATGCATTTCTCTTTTAACTTTGTTAAATAAAAATATCACATTTTTTACTATACCAGTGTTGTTGAGTGGTGCCTAGAAAATCTCACCCCTTTTGTCTTTTCCTTTGTTTATTATATAGATGTGGCACCTGAAAGTTGTTGCTAGTCATAGACTTAGCATTTTAAATATTTTGCCTACAACTACATATTGTCATCCTCCCTGGACACTCGCTCGTCTTTCTACACGCAGAACCAGGTCTCGCTTGCTACAACCCTGGCAAACAGAAGACGCCAAAAGTCTCAGAGACGCAGCCGTGTTCTTAAGCAAGCATGGCGTAAAACTAAATTTCTGCAAGACTTTACCCTCTAAAAATCTGAGCTATTCAAATACAACTCCTGCCTCCACACTGCTAAACAAATCTACTACACCACTCATCAAAATCCTCTCACTAAACCCAACCCTCATCAACTTTTTTTCTACTCTTAATTCCTTACTTCAGCCCCACTGCCTAAGCCCACCAACTTTCTTACTGCCCAGCAGATTGCCAATCATTTCAAAAACAAAATCGACACAACTCGTGATGAGATATCCAGCGCCCAGCTTTCTCCTCCAACCAATACACCAGGTCCAACACCATACTCAACACTTTCTGTGGCCAACCTCAGCACCTGTCCCATGGACCCTGTCCCCTCACAACTGTGACCACCTTCCTGCTCAATCCTAAACTCTCTAACACACATCTTCAACCTCTCCCTTTACTCCGGCACCTTTCCCTCCTTGCACAAACGCTCAGTGAACTCCACCTGTTCGAATAACTTAACCCTTCTCCCTGCTCACGTTTGCCTCCAAGCTTCTTGAATGCTTTGTCCACAACCATATGAGTTGCTACATCACTGCCAACAACC